GTGCAGCAATAAAAGTGGAGATCATACACTGACCCAACTAACGGTCATCGGAAGCCAAGTGCATCTGTACCAGTACCTTCAGCGCCAGAGTGAAGTTGGAAAAGTCGCTATCGCACACAGCGTGGTCCTCCTCTGTAAGGATTGTGAGGTTGCAAAAGATGTTCGGCAGCAAGCTCAGAAACATGCAAAGTTCACGCAGATAAACCTTCCTGTTAACAGACCCTATCGTGAAGTTGAATGTGCTGGGGTTTTGCGATGACGAGACACGCGGTGACCCAGGTACCGACTGACGACGAGTTGCACACACAAGTGTTGGGACCACGAGCGAAGTGTTTACCACGCCGTTTACCACCATACTTGACTGCCCCAACGACTTTTCCTCGTTTTCGGAAACAATGGTCCCTGCTAAATTACTAGAGGAATCCCGCTCGTCCTCACCGATCCCTGCGGCTACTGCTGAGACACTGGCCTTTAATTCACTGGTGCTTCTTCCACCATCCAGCTCCCCTGCAGAGTCTGTAAACGGAGAATGGAGCTCCATACGTGGACTGTTGGCATCGATATTCTGTGCATGCATTGAGCGGTAACCCAAGTTCTCGAGAAAGAGATATACACGCGTGTAGAACATCTCCAATGCCTCCTGCAGAGACCCAGTGTTACCGATAATTGTTGTCATCCGGACCAAGCACTTGATGATGAAGGGAAACTCAAGAAGAAACCGCCTCGAAAAGGCACCGTTAGCTGAGAGGTGTGGATTATGCGTAGTAAGTGCCTGTGTACTCCCTGTGATGGGAATACCTGTGATGTTGTTGTTACTACTACCTGCGTGGTAACTAGATGGTGTCACAGCACTCGTTTGTGCCGTCGCCTGCAGTGCTGATGGTGCCTTGCAGGGCCCTGCAGAAACACGCTGTGTCTTTGATCCTGTTGCTACTTGTGGTAAAGTGGACTGTGTCTCCGCATCTAACGGTAGTGTACTCGTGTTGCGTGGCAACAGTGCCGGTGGGACATTTGTCGTTGGTGACGGCTGCGCCGCACTGGCCAAACTCGCAGCGTGTGGGCCGCCACTTGTGCCGACGCCCGTGTTTGTGGAAATTGCGCGCTGCACCTCGTTTAATTGCACCTGCCACCGTGGACGCATCGCCTCAGCAAAGGCCATCTGGTGCATCTCCGCCACCACACGGTTCTCATCAAGGAGACGGGCGATACGGGCGCATGCGCCGCAGAAATCCTCGCGCAGCATCAGCTCTGAGTCGTCACACCACAGAGAGGCGAGCACGTGGCAGACGGAGGTGCAATCCGCATATGAAAGGTTCTCCCAACAGCGGCCCGTCAGCCGGTGCTCAAAACCAAACACAAAAGTGGCGTACAGCACACCGAGGGACCCACGCAGGGCGAAACACTGCCGCAGCGCCGTGGGGAGTGGCGTGGTGCACGGAATCAGTATCCCATCGCGCCCACGATAGGCGGAGACGAGAAAGGTACTCACCCACTTGAGGTTCTCCCACTGCCGCCGCAGCGACCCCTCCAGCAGTCCTGCCCGTGTAAGTTTGCGCAGCCCATTGCCGCGCTTGCCGCCAGCGCTGCAGAAAAAGCGGCCCTCCGACTCGCCGTCGACCTCAAACTTGTGCATGCGCTCGCCAAAGAAGAATTTCAGCACTTCGTCATCGACACTGTAGAACACCTCCACCACACGCCGTCGGTCCCTCAGTGTCATTGGAATCGAATAGCTGGAAAGGAAGGCGTACGGTGTTGACAAATAGTTCTCCCGCAGCATTTCGATGAGGTTGAACTGCTCTGCCACATCTTCATGAAGAAAGTAACTTGTAGCGGTCATCGCATCCGACACATTTTGCAGCAGCTCGTGATGAAATGCGAGATTGGAGCCACTGAGGGGAAAGCTGCGGTTGTGCAACGCCAGCAGAACCCCTTTCACATCGTCACCAGTGCCAGTCTCACTTGTGCTCTTCTCCACCGTCTCTTCTCCCTGCTTTCCCCCCACCACAGTAGTACTAATAGTAGCAGTAGTAGTAGTAGTAGTAGTAGGAGGAGGAGGAGGAGGATCAGCAGCGGTAGCCATCACTGTCGTCTCCATAGGCATCCTTGTCGTTGTCGTCGTCGTCGTTTCAGGAGCAACGTTGTCGCCAATCACAGGGACGCTGCTACTCAACGGCATTTCATCCTCTAAATGTCGCGGGCACTCAAAACTCCTGCCGCGTGGACTGTTGTGCAAATGTGCCACAGAGTGGCTAACAGAATTCTTTTTGCTTCGGTCACGCGACTCTGCTGCGTTAATCTGCATCATGTACATCACAGTCTCCTCCACAGTGTATCCGGCGGTGTAAGCTCGCAGAATATCGAAGTCGATGCCAACGGGCCACACAGAGCAGGCATGAATTGACGGCCGCAGCGCCATCTTGACCAACACTTCCAACACACGCGGAGCACAAACAAGCAAAGAAGAGTTTGCATGGGGGAGCAAGAGACTCTCTGAGAAAAAAGAGAACAGTTACACTGTCTAGCACACTGTTCGTGCAGACTTGATGTTTACAAGAGGCCTCCATGTGGTAACTTCGATGCGGTCATCCCTCTTCCTTACAAATTGATGGACAAAACTCCTACAAACCGAGCCTCGACATAGTGTCAGCAAATGAATTCGCTGAAGGCGCACCACCTGCATTTTTGTCTTTTCTTCCCGCAGGACGGCCTCCTCTTCGTGGTAGCCGTTGTACCTCAATGGGCGCCTGCACCTCTTTCAGAGCTGCCGCTTTTGTTGTTGTTGTTGTTGTTGTTGTTGCCGCAGTCAATGATATTGCTGATGACGCGGCTGCATGTAATGGGCGTACCGGCGCTGTGATACTTCCTTCCACCCGTGCCACCTTCCGCAGTGGTGCAGGATGGTTGTTGCCTCCTCGGAGGCCAACGGTTTCATCGATTCTCCTCCCTTCTGCGGCATGAGCCCGAGTTGCAGGTGTTTCTGTGCGCCCCCTCTTCCCGCGCGACAAGGAGCCTTTGGGAACGGCACGGACAGCTGCCTTCAACGTGGCGGGCTCATTCCCCGTCGCTGCCACAGCGGAAAGCAGCTGTTTGGGCTGTGCAACTGCTGTCACGTCACCTACACGTCGCGTGCGTTTCCGTCTGCGAGTGCGCCCTACGCGGACAGTAGACAGTGCAGCCACCAAAGGATATTCGTTCCGTGGGCCTGAAGTAGCCGGTACTTCTCCCTCTACTACTGTTTCAGCACTGGGTANAGGAGTAGGTAAAGGAGACGTGGTCACGCACCCACTCTTCTCCCACAGAGCCAACTCCTTCTTGAGACATCGACAGCACACATACGTTCCTCGTGTTGATACAGCCTTTCTTGGTGGGTGTTTCTCACTAGCAGGCGTCGTGCCCTCCTCGTCATCAGGAAGACGCGCAGCGCAAGGAGCTGTTCTGGCAAGAAGCTGCTTGGTCTCGCCCGCAACAAGGTACACGCCGCAGCGTCGGCACCACAACCGGTGCGCTGCACGCATTGACCACAGCTGCCGCCTTCCGTCGTGGTGCCCTTTTGACAGCCGTCGCCGCCGGCTTGTGTAGCACGGCCCCAGCGGGTAGCTCGCCGCCCGGCGCAGCGCGTGTGAACCGTAGTGTGCCGAAAGATCATGCAGCAGCATTGCCGTCGTGGGCGATACTACTGACGACGACGACGACGGCGATGATGATGATGATGATGCAGCGGCAGCAGTGCGAACCCCCCGCATCACATTCACCATCGCCGCTGATAGGGAGGCGCAAAACTCTGCACCCAGCAGTTGACTCTGCAGCGTGAAAGACGGTGGAATGCTGCGGGGCAGGAGGCGCGGGTGCCGCAGCGACTGCAGTGTGGCGGGATAAACAGGGGGACTCGCTCCTCCCCCACGCCCAGCGTGAACACCTTCCATCTAGCGCCCTATCAGAATTAAGCGGAAATAATGTTGGTGTTAATTAAGGCATTAAGGAAAAAAAAAAGTAAAAAAGGGGCAAAAAGGCAGAAATGCAAGATATTTTGTGTTCTTCCAGGAACCAATATCGCGCCAGACACCCAACTGTGTCAGTTGCTCACCACCTCAGCCTCCGCTTTCTCTTCCTGATCCACTCTCTCACGCACCCCTGTATCACCCTCTCAGATCGGTGCCGTGGGAGACGGAAACCAGAAGCACTTGTATGAGCAACTGTACATACGGGACGCATGTGGTCTACGCGGGGGGCAGACACCAAGGAGAGAAAGAGAGCAAAGCCCCACCCAACCGCCACAAATGACAATAAATGCCAATTCAACAACAACCACAACAAGCCATCCCTCCAAAAAAGAACAAAAACAAACACAAACACAAGCGACAATACAGTTCAAGTCGCGGCAACCGACCTCTCACGCCGCACCTCCTCCGGCGTCTCGAATCAGTTAAGTGCATGCAACGGCCCTTCGCCTTTTTTCTTCAGTTCCGCCTGCACCTCCGCCATCGTCAAGATGGAGCCACGTAGTGAGAGAAGCATCCGACGGTGGCTCTCCTGCAGCAACTCCTCAGGTTCAATGTACCATCCAAAGCGCGCGTGCACCACATTCCCCCACTTTGCGATCCATTTGTGATGCGAAGTCGCTGGCACCGCCGCGGTGGTGGCGGTGGTGTCAGCCGTCTGCTCCTCGTGCATTGCGGGTGATGCCGTCGTCATCATCGCCACCGTGGTGTAAGTGAGAGAAAACGCCCTCACCCCGATGTCACCCAGGATTCCATTGTCCCGAATGTCCTCGTAATTCTGAGAAAGCTTCTCCTTTAGTTGATCCTCATCCACACGTTGCATGCACCATTTCCGGTATGCAGCGCGACGGGCAGCGAACAACTCTTCCAGCATTGCTATCTTGTATTCCTCCGTTGTGAGGATGTGGTGCCACAACACACTGCCAACAATGAAGCCAATGCGGTCAGAAGCTGTTGGCGGAAGCGTGACCTTTTTCAATCGTTCCCGGCAATCCAATTCAAGCTGCCGCCATTGATGCAGCATGCGCTGCATCGCACGTTTCTTCCGCGACAAGCAGAGACGGAAAAAATGTTGAATGATATGAACAGCACGCAGAAGTCGCTTCATCAAACGACGAAACCGAAGCCGTTGACTGTAGTGGAAGTACTCGCGAATAGCATTCGTGTGCGCAGTGAGTACTGCGGGTGGGTGCTGCATGGCCCATGCGTAGAGCTTAGGATTGGTGAAACGCAGATACAACTCATCGCCGAGTGGCGGACGCCACGCTGTAGTCGATTTCGGCGAGCGGCGTTTGCGTAATGTCAGCGACATGCTTCGTAAACCATCCATTGAACAGTTTTCATTGGAGGGAAGAGACGTCAGGTCCAGCTCGCTGCACGTCTGCTTCATTTGTGTATGGCTGCACATTTCGGCAGACCCAAACGGATCTTCAACGGTAGCTAATTCGCTCTCCTCACGCATTGCCGGTGGGAGAAGCATACGGAGGGAAAAGGCACGCGTCACTGCGCCAGGCGCGCATTGATGTAGGACAGTCTGTATAAGGTCATACCGCAGCGTTTGACCACGTGGCACATTCAGAGACACATGTTCGGGAATGAGCGAAAGACTTTGCACCATGCAGCCCGTCCCTTCCTTCGACACGGAGATGTATTCCCGCAGTAGGAAGCGCACCTGTGCCTTTGGCTCGCCACCAGAGCCACTACCACCAATACCATTCGTTGGAGCATTTATGTCTCCAAGTTCAGACGCAGCTAAGTTTGACGGCATCGGGATTTGCAAAATGCGCCCCTCCTCCACAAAGGCGGTGCCGCCCAACAGAAAGCGGTCCTCGCCGTTCCACAGCATCCCCGCCGTGAACTGCGGCGGGCGCACAGTAACCGCGGCAAGTGCTCTATTCGCACTGATCGACCCATGGTACCAGGCATCGTTCCATTCGGAGAGATTGCGTGCGCTTTCCTCCTCCACGAGCGTCTCGTATGTCTTGAAGCCACGCCCCTCAGGGTCTACAGCGTGGTGTTGCATCAGATACGTCCGCCGCACCTCAAACACCGATGCGGTGAGCCGCAGCAGACTGTACACCTCGCGCAGCACCATCTCCGTGAATTGGCGGTGGTAGCCGGTGTCCGCCATCCCCGCCGTGTTGTTCGACATCACGGCCTCCACAGCCGCCTCATCGATAGCAATTTGACACAATGACTCGGGGAAGGCCTTGACAAGGGACTCCTGCAACATTCGCGCGTCTTTTGCCTCGTCATTTTCGCTGTCGGATCGGCCCAGCGAGGAGATAGGCGGTACATCGGGGAAGGAGCCGCCTATCCAGTCAAGGAGGGAGTCGTCGTGGCAACCGCTGCTGCTGCTGCTGCTGCTGCTTCTGTCACCATTGATGGCAGCTCTCGCCACCAGAGAGGGGAATGTCACACGCGCCGGGCCTTGTGAGCTGCTCGACTCGTCTCTGCAGACGACCGTCGCGGAGTGAGGCAAGGGCGAATCATCTTCCTTCAACGCCACAGGTAGCAGCAGATGATCCTGAATGTGCTGTCGCTGTCCTTGCATGCTGTCTCAGAGATTTCTTTGTTGTTGTTGTTGTGTTACTAATTCTCGTTCGTTGCGCCCCTCCTCCCCTCCTCACTCTTCCTTGCGTGCGGGATTATCTCTCTCTCTCTCCCTCCCTCCCTCCCTCTCCCTCCACTTCCTCCTTTTTTGGTTGCCACTCACCACACGGAGCAGGTAGTTCCTCGCGAGGCCGTGCAGAGTGCGCCTACAGACGCAGAAGAAGCAGAGAGAAGTGAAACAGTGTGCGCTGCCACACAATAGTATTTTCAGAAAAAAAAATCCACACAAAGCACCAGAGCTGCGTGTATGTACAGAGATTAAAATGAACAAGTAAGAAAATGAAAAGCGGACTCATCAAACAAGAGCAGAAGCATGTGCATGTAATACTTATGCCATGATCTCCTTGGGCTCAATAACGGTGATCACATCGGGCAGCACCT